TCTCATGTTATTCACAGTCTCCAAAAAATCTGCTGGATGGTCAGCAATGAGTTGGTCCCAACTCAGTGGCCATGAGTGTGAGAATTTCTCTATAATTCTCTTACCTATACTCCGTCTTTACACCATTAGCTTTTTTCAGTAGTTTCTGGTTTCTCTGCACATCTGTAGCTTTGCAAAATTTGGCAGGATATGGGACTGCAAAGGAACAGCTTAACTGAACAGCTTGTTGGGAGACAACACCTGTGAGTGGTAATGTGACATTTCTGGAGAGGAACAGATGGAGGGTGAAGTGAGACAGGGAATTCTCTGGAGTCTTCAGGCTAGCATTAAGTGATAAAGTTTTAAGGCACTAAAACTAGCCATCATTTAAGTACAATAAGTACATGGCGCCCAGTAAGGTCTGAGAGGAAAGTAAGATGAGTATGTCATCATGAATAGGACCCAAAAAGAACCAATGTCTGTCAGGTGTCAGAGTTTTCCATGGCAGATTTTTCAGAAGTAGCTCTCTAAAACTTCCTCACAAAGTCAATCTAGATGTACTCACTAATTCATATCACCCAGGGGCTCTAACTCTAAGTAATAAAAAGAGGGGGCAAGGAGGCACTGAATCAGAATACTTCCATCCCTTTTCCCCTGGCATGGCACACAGGGACCAAAGAAGTATTTTATCACCACCATCAACATCTTGTCCATCATGTGATCTAAACAGTCAGACATCCTCAGTTTAATCCACCTCCTTCTCATTACCATTTTTATACATAGTGGTCTCGTCCACAGGGAATTGTGTTGCTAACCCAAAGGTGGCACTTCCCTGGTGGTTCAAAGCCTTGAGCTTTAAGGGAGAAATATGAACAATGTCCTCCCAGGCAACTTAAAGCCTCGAAACCCAAGGAAAGGTCAGCTATGAGTTGGTTCTGACTCAACAGCAATGAGGTTTTAAATCTCCGGGAGAGCACACTGAACTCTCTCCCTCTCCCCTCTTCTGGACTTCCACATTCTTCAATTTGTCAGACAGCCGTGATCTGTCCCTCTTAAATCATAGCACCAATTAAGTGTCAAGTCTCTTGTCCCTTCATGTTTGCTGACCAAGCCCTGCCCCTTCTCCTTCAAGGCAGCTCTTCTGACCCAAGCCCACTCATGTTCTCACCCTGGACCTCAGCTTCTTGGTTTCCAGATTGCCGGCAAACAATCCCTGCCATCACAGCACCGCATAGCAATGAGACACGCCTCCTGGAAAACTTCCTGGTAAGATGGTAGAGCAGATAGCAGTCAGTTCGGGCCTTCTTAAATGAAGTCATCAGAAGACAAATATGAGCCTGTAAATAGAGAATAAAAAGAAGAATTGAAGAAAAATATAAAATGATGAAACATATGGAGCACAGTACCGTAAATGGCACAGCACGGCCGTTTTGAACAGCTGCTCATTTGTGGTGGAAACCTGTGTTTACAGAAAGGTTCATACGAGAGACAAGCTAGATAATGGGAAAGATGTGATATTCCTTCTTGTTCTCCATACCCTTCCAGTAATGGGATAGTGACTTTCCCCATCCATCAACCCCTGGAGCGGGGAGAGGTAACTGGTGGTGTTCCCCAGTTTTTTGGCTCTGCTTGATGTCACATTCACATAACATTTTGTATTCGGCACCATGAGCTTGCAAGACACTAAATTCTGCCTGGTCTCTCTCCAAGGAGCGAGACAATTGCATGGTACTGCTTTACAGTCATTCCCTGGATTTGCAAAGGGCACTTTCTATTTTCACTAGCCATATCTGACTGGATACTCGCCAGTACTCACCCCTTCGTCTAGCTAAGGCATGATCCTTAGCCAAACATACTCTGAAGTAAGTTGAAATTGTCACAGGATGGGTGTCCCATCTCTCAACAGACATATCCAGGCTAGACATCTTGTCATCACCCACAAATACAACACTACAATGTCTAGAAGGAAACAAAGGACCTCAAAGCACAAAAAACTAGGATAAAATAAAACAAAAATGTGACCAAAATATAGAACAAGACAATATCTCAGAGAAAGGAAAGCTATTAGAGCTTCCTGATGAAGAATTAGGGAGAATGTTACTTAAATGTCTTCTACAGATTTTAAAAACAAAGAAAACAGAATTCAAGGTGACTGATTTCATAGAAAAAATCCACTGTCTTGACTTTAGATGACAAATCTGGCTTTTCAAATAACTTATTGGTGATTCACAAGTGGTCACACTGGAAAGTAACATACTGGTGCCGGTAAATTACCCTGTAAAATGAGGCAGAGATTCTTAATTCTCCTCAGTCTCATGGAGTAGGATTGGTGAAAACAATAGTTTCATTTCAAGTAGAATTAAAGCCAAAAGATATTTGTTCATCATCTACTTTAGGTAATTATTTCTGGCATTGCATTATAAGTGAATCTCCTTTATCCAATAACAATTAACTGTCTCAGCAAGCAGAAACACACAGGATAATGGCTCTTGAATTTTTGAAAACACAAAATTTTTCTCCAAGCAATTTAATTTTCTTTTCCACCCAATTTGAACTTCCTTATACTTCTCAGTGTTGTTTATGCCATGGCATCTAGTTCTAGAATATACGTAGTTTACTGCTTTTCTAACAAGTAATGGACATTTCTTTGTCCTTCAGCCTACTGAGTTTTTATGTGACTAAATTTAGAATATATTTGAGCCTTTAACTAAACCAAGCTCAACTCATCGCCATCAAGTCAGAAGTGACCCATAGCTGAGCTGCTAGCAAGTTTTGAGAAACTGTAAAATGCACGAGAGGATTTTGTGTCTCATCTGCGAGCAGCTGGTCGATTCAAACCACCTACTTTTGAGTTATCAGTGCAGCTTAATACGTAGTAGGCAAAAAAAAGGGAACAATGGGGACATAGAGCACTATTAGTTACTCTACTAACTATAGAGTCTGTGGCTCAGATTGAGTTTACCAGACATTCTGCATTGAAGATAGGAAATCTATAAAGATGAGCAGCTTTGGAAACCCAGTGGAAGGTCGCTATGGGGCAGAAACAAGTGATGACAGCATAAAAAGACATTGCTTAAGGCACTGAGTGAATAAATATTACCAAAAACAACTGGTCCCATAAAGGAGCAATTGTTTATCTGTACAAATCATCCTGTTAATTGGTAAATATTCATTGAGCACTTATATGATGGATATTGTGCAAGTCACTTACAATTCAAAGATAAACAGGGCATTCTCTTTATTGTCAAGACGCCCAAGGTGTGCTGGAGAATGGAACTAGAAAGGGCAATTATTCTCCAGTGTTATCAGAGCATATTATAAAAGCATTCTGTGCTTCTGGATCACAATGGAGGAGTAGCTAATTTGACCTCTAAAACAAGAAAGATAGTTTGAATAATATGGTAGATTAAATTATGTCCTTTAAGCCCACTCACTTTTGTGTTATATCACTACTAAGAAACTGTGACAGATAAATGGGATTTATTCTATTCTAGAAGGAAGAAGAGAGTGGACATAGCTGATGAGAGCAGCATCATGGAAAAAAGCAGTACCTGGGGCAATACACATGAAGAAATTTCTTTAGGTCATAGTCACTGGAGAGAAACTGGTAAAGTGTGATGGGGAAAGGTGTATCTGGAGAAGCACTGTAAAGTAGATAGAGGAAGAGTCAGTGCTAATCTTTCCAACTCCAAATGCCATATCAAATCAGGAAGAAAAAGTATAAGAAAAAACATACTGAACATTCTTTATGAGGTTTGAAAAGACTGGAAGAACCCTATGAACAGTCAAAGTGATTGCATTATTTGGCTCAATTAGAAAAAGTTTCATAAAGAGAAAACTGAACTCTATCTGGTAGAATGGCTCTGGTTGGACATTTGTATGGTTGACATGTTATGTTTAAAACAACTTTTATTACATATTATGATTTGTGCCTCCTCAAAATTGTGTTGAAATCCCATTCTTTGATATCTATGACTGTGAATGTGACTGTCTTTGAGAATAGAGTCATGCACATGTCATCAATTTAAGATGAGATCATACAAGGTTGTTGCTGGTGGTGGTGATGGTATTTAGGTGCTGTTGTGTCAGGTATGACTCAAAGAAACCCTGTGAGCAATGAGTGTGAGCTCTGCCCTGTCTCGTGCCATCCTCACTATCTCTGATACACTGTTACAGTCATCATATCAATCCACCTTGTTCCAGGTCTCCTTTCCGATGTTGACCCTCCACCTGTGCATACATGATGTCCCAATCCAAAGTCTAAGCTCTCCTAACAACATGCCCAGAGTATGTGAGACATAACCTCACCATCCTTGTTTCCAAGGGGTGCCCTGGACACACTTTGTTCAAGATAGACTTGCTTGTTCTTTGAATAGTCCATGGGCTATTTAGTACTCTTGCCCAGGATCATGACTCAAAGGCTTTGATTCTTCTGCTGTCCTGAGTTGTTGTCCAACATTCTGGCGCAAGGCAAATAATAAAAAAGACCATGGCTTGTATCAGGCACACACCTTTCATTTTTAAGCTGAAATCATTACTTGATAGAAATTTGGAGAGGTCTCTGATTTTCCCAATCCAATACATCTTTTGATTTGGTACTCTTTGTACCAAGGGTGTTGACTATGGATCTGAGTAAGCTAAAATTATTAACAATTTCAATCTTTTCTCTATTATGATGTTGCCTATTGGTCCAGTGGAGAGGACCTTTTTTTCCCCCTTGATGTTAAGATGTAATCTGTATTGATGGCTGGTAGTCTTTGATGTTCTGCAATAAGTACTTCAATCTTCCTCACTTTCCTCAATCAACATTGTGTCATCTGCCTAACACAGGTTTTTGAGTCTTCCTCCAATCCTGATGACACGTTCTTTTTCATAAAGTCCACCTTCTCAAAAGATTTCTCTAGCACACAGCTTAGAAGGTAAAGAGATTCTGCTGCTCCTGGTGCTGCTCATGTGCTCGTTCAGTGCGCACCTGCTACCTCTTTTGTGAAGCGGCAGCAGAGGAGACCCTGATGCTCGCCATGGCCGATGAGAAACCCAAGGAAGGAGCCAAGACAGAGAACAATGATCATATTAATTTGAAGGTGGTGGGACAGGATGATTCTGTGATGCAGTTTAAAATTAAGAGGCATACACCACTTAGTAAACAAATGAAAGTTTATTGTGAATGACAGGGTCTGTCAATGAGGCAGATCAGATTCCAGTTTGACAGGAAGCCAGTCAATGAATCAGATGCAACTGCACAGTTGGAAATGGAGAGTGAAGATACAATTGATGTGTTCCAGCAACAGACAGGAGGTATCTTCTAAAAAGAAAAACAGAGGAGCCTGCTGTTTTACTACAGAAATCTGTTCCCACAGAAAAAGAATACATTCTCAATTAGAAAACCACAATTGTGTTCCAGCACATCCTGACTCCTACAGTATCATTTTCTCTTTTCTTTCATTTCACCTTCTCTATGCTTTTATTGTACATAAAGTAACTGGTGTGTGTGCACATGCTTATTGCAGGTTTGTTTTGTGCTTTGTTGTTAGGGTTTTTATTTTTTATTTTATAAACTAAATGGCCAATGGTATGTTTTGATCCACATCTAGTAGAGATAGATGGGGGAAAATACTGATTCTGTGAAAATACCCTCTTTTTCCATAAGAGGCATGCTCATTCAGCTCTTATCTTTGTTGTTAGGGTTTTTATTTTTTTCCTTTATAAACTAAATGGCCAATGGTATGTTTTGATCCACATCTAGTAGAGATAGATGTGGTAAATTACTGGTTCTGTGAAAATACCCTCTTTCTCCATAAGAGGCATGCTCATTCAGCTCTTATCTTTATATTCCAATAAATTATTCTGTTCTCACTGTTTAACAAAAAATAACATAAAAAATTCTTACCTACCTTATTTGATTGGAGAATTTGAATGTTTTTTATTTACCATTGTAAAACCAAGGACAATTTTATAACTTTTTTGTACATAACTGTTATATGTAGGGCAATCTGTCTTCAAGTAAATTACTCTAAAAGAAATTAATCCTAGATCGTTTTCTCTTCAAGTCAAGTATCTTGTTGTTAAATAAACTTCTTGTTTAGAAAGCAAAGAGAAAAAAAGAAGAGAAATTATACATCCCTGATGTGTACTTTTCTTCCTTTTAAACTATGTGTTGTTCACTTGCTCTATTTTGACAATTACCCCTTGGTCCATGTATAGGTTTCACAGGAAAACAATTAAGTGTACTGAAATTTCTATTTCTTTAAGTGTTTTCCATAATTTGTTGATATTCACAGGCAAATGCCTTTGTATAGTCAACAGAGCAGAGAGAGACAACCTTCTGGTATTCACTGCTTTCAGCCGATATCCATCTTACATCAGCAACTATATTCCTCAAGCCAACACCTCTCCTAGACCCACTTCTTAAATTTCTAACAGTACTTTGTCAACATACTATTCTAGCCATTTCTTAATAATTTTCAGCAAGATTGTATTTGCATGTGATGTAGTTGTTAGATTGTGTTTTTAATTGCCATCAAGTTGAGAACAACCAATAGCGACCCAATAAACAACAAATCTGAACCCTGTCCTATTCTGTGCCATCCTCCCACTTCCTAACATACTAGAGACCATTGCCACAGTCACTGTGTCAATCCACCTAGATGAGAGTCTTCGTCATCTTCGCCAACCCTCCGCCTTTCCAAGTATTATGTCCCTCTCAAGGAATAGCCCCTCCTAGCAACACACTCAAAGTATGTGAGGCAAAGCTTTATCATCTTCGCCTCCAACAAGCACTTTCTCCAAGACATGTTTGTTCTTTTGGCAGTCCATGGGATGTTCAACATTCTACACCAGCACAGCTCAAAGGAATACTTTTTCTTCTGTCATCCATATTCATTTTCCAGCTCTCAGATGCATAGCAAGTGATTGGAAATATCATGGCCTGAATCAGATGCACCTTAGTCCTCAAACTGACATCATTACTCTTCAATAATTTGGAGCGATCCCTAACCACAGACTTTCCCAAGTCCAACACGTCTCCTAATTTGCTGACTTCTTGTAACAAGGGTGTTGACTGGAGATCCAAAATGAAGTTGTTGACAGTTTCTATCCTTTCTCCATCTATTATGATCGGATCAGTGGTAAGAGGTTTTATTTTCTTGACATTAAGGTACAGTCCATAGTTAAGGCTGTATTCTTTGATCTTCTACAACAATTGTTTCAAACTCTCCTCACTTTCAGCAAACAAGGTTGTGTCATCTGCATAACACAGGTTATTAATGAATCTTCCTTCAATCCTAATGGCACATTCTTCCTCACAGAGTCCAGTTTCTCTGATAATTTCCTCAGAATACAGATTGAAAAGAGAGAGAGAGAATACAATGCTGACGACCTCACTTCTTAATTTTAAACCATGTAATGTTCCTTGCTCTGTCTCTTGGTCTCGTTGTAGATTTCATATAAGCACAATATATATTGCTCTCATATGAAACCTTGTTCATGTGATAGTAATGATAGTCTTCAATAATTTTCACATTCTGTTGGATCACCATTTTTGGGAATTGGAACACATATGGATCTCTTCCAGTCAGCCAGGTAGCTGTCTTGTCAATTTCTTGGCACAACCTGGTCAGCATGTCCAGGTTTGTGTCTGTTTGTTAGAACATATCAGCTAGTATCCCATCAATTCCTGGTGTCATCAGTACACTTTGGACTTCTGCTCCCTAGTAGGTTAGAGTAGAACCTAAATCCAGTGAATAATATCCTAAGAAAAGAGAATTTGAAAATGAACATGGCACCTGGAGAGAATTTGTGTAAAGACAGAGACATAAACTATGCAAGTTATAGGATGCCAAGAATTGCCAGCAACCACCAGCAGCTCCTCAGGAGAAAGATGACCATCTGTCCCAGAAAGCTATGGACAGGAAGTCACTCAGAGCCTCCAGAAGAAACTATCCTGTTGACATCTTAACTATATACTTCTAGGTTACAGAAACAGAAAGGAATAAATATATTGCTGTTCAGGCCATTAAGTTTACAGTAATTTCCCATGACAGCTCAAGGGAACTAATATAACTACTAATTGTTTTTCATGGAAGTATTTCATAGAAACCTTCATATAATCCCATCTGTAGATATAGATAGATAGATAGATAGATAGATAGATAGATAGATAGATAGATAGATGATAGATGAGTAAAGCCAGCTATAACTGGACCACTGAAGTCCTGGAACAGGGAATTTTCCTGGTCACATCAGGTCATAGCTTTCCACCTACTTCCTCATTCTGGTCAACAGCATGAAAGAAAGATCATTGTCTGCCAGAATCACAGATTCTATTGCTGGCTATGGAATTACATAGAAACTAATAAAATTAATTGCATATTTAAACAACTGTTTTACCTTCATACACAAATTTTAAAGCATCTGCCTCAAAGCCAGCTTTGTTTTAAGCAAAGTAAAAAAATACACATGAACCAGGTAACTACCCTCAAATTTTGTACTTTAGGCAGGAAAATAACAATAATTAATAATAATATAAAAATAAAGAACTAACAGTAGCAGAACAGGAAGAAGCATGATTACTAGCTTGTATTCAGTAAAATCAAGGTACTAATACAGTGTCAAACAACGAACTGATTGACTAGATTGCTGGCTATCCCAGGCGAAACTACTTATCTCCCATGGTGTCCTACAAAGAGCATCTGAATGAATATAAGAACAATTTTCTGTTAATTCCTGTTGTTGTTGTTGTTGTTGTTAGGTGTTATCAAATCAAATATGACTCATAGAGACTCTTGTTAATTATAGACCAGAACCCTCCCCTATTTTGTGTTATCCTCATCATCTGACTTACTTGAGTTCATTGCTGCAATCACTGTGTCAATCCATCTCATTGAGCATCTTCCCCTTTTTCACTCACCTTTCCAGACATAATGTCCCTTTCCAAGGAAGAGTCTCTCCTAGCAAATTCCCCAAAGTATGTGAGATGGAATTTAGTCATCCTTGCTTCCAAGGAGCAATTTGGCTGCACTTTTTCCAAGACAAATCTGCTTGTTTATTCATTTGGCAGTCCAGAAGATATTCAGTACTCTTCTCCAATATCACAACTCAAAGGCACCCAATTCTTGTCATCCTTATGTCTAGCTCTCAGATGCATAAAAAGTGATTCAAAAGAACATGGCCTGAATTAAGTGAATTTTAGTCTTCAAACTAACATCATTATTTCTCAGTATTTCGGAGATTTACTTGACATTAGACTTGCCCAATACATCTCTTGGTCTCCTGACTGCTGGTACCAAGGATGTTGACTGAGGATCCAAGTAAGATGAAGTTGTTGACGGTTTCCAACTTTTCTCCATCTATCATGATGTTGCTTATCAATCCAGTGATAAGAGTTTTGGTTTCTTGATGTTGAGCTACACTCCATATTGAAGGCTGCAGTCTTTGATCATCTGCAGCAAGCTCTTCAATCTGCAACATCCTTCATGTTCTTCATCCTCACTTTCAACAAGGAACGTTGGTCATATCCATAATGCAGATTGTTGGTGAGTCTTCCTCTAAGCCTGATGTCACATTCTTCTTCGTAAAGACCAGCTTCCCAAATGATTTGCTCAGCATATAGATTGAATAGATATGGAGAAAGGATACAACCCTGATGCACACCTTTGTTGATACTAAACTATGCAAAGTTCCCTTGTTCTGTTTGGACAACAGCTTCTTGGTCTAGATATAGGTTTCTTATAAACACAATCCTGTATATAAGCACATATAAGTATTCTGGGATACCTATTCTTCTCAATGTTAGTTTTTCATTATCCCCACAGTCAAATATCTTTGTATAATCAATAAAACAAATAAACATTCCTCTTGTATTCTCTGCTTTCAGCCAGGAACCATCTGACATCAACAATGACATCTCTGATGTCACGACCTCATCTAAACTCCACTTAAAGCTCTGGTAGTTCTCATTCTGTATACTGTCCTAGCCATTTTTTATGTAACTGCTATAAATTACAAAAAAACTTAGTGTCTTAAAACCATAAATGTACTCTCTCACTCTTCTGAAGGCCAGAAGTCCAAAATCATGACTCTGAACTACCATGTGAGGCAATGTCATAAACACTGATCTCTGGAGCCCAAGAGTTCTTTAAATTCAGCTAGAGATTCAAGAAAGAAAGAGTAAGAAATGCACATCCATTTCTTAAAACCTGAGGGGGGTGGGGAGCAACTCTTCTCACATTCTATTGGTGAAAACTGATCACATGACCATACCGCAATACAAGTGAGTCTAGAAAATGTTGCCCGTGGCTGAACAGTTAGT